GGTAACTTAACGGCATCCCAGGAAAAAGCTCAAGAATATTTACAGGAATATAAAAATAGCCAGCATCTAACAAGTTCACAATGTCTGGTAACTAAACAAAAATAAGCAGGCATATAAAGAACTATAAAATACAATCATCAATACGGAGTAAAATTAATCAACCAAAAGAAAAATAATTGTCAATCTAGAATGCTGTACACAGCAAAAATATCACTTAAAATGAAGGCAAAGAACACATTTTTAGTTGCACAAAACCGAAAGAGTCTATCTCCAGCAGACTTGCACGATAAGAAATGTTAAGTCCTTCAGCCGGCACGGTGGCTCACGCCTGTAATCCTAGCACTTTGGGAGGCCGAGGCGGGCGGATCACGAGGTCAGGAGATCGAAACCAACCTGGCTAACACGGTGAAACCCCGTCTCTACTAAAAACACAAAAAATTAGCCAGGCATTGTGGTGGGTGCCTGTAGTCCCAGCTACTTGGGAGGCTGAGGCAGGAAAATCGCTTGAACCTGGGAGGTGGAGGTTGCAGTGAGCCGAGATTGTGCCACTGCACTCCAGCCTGGACGACAGAGACTCTGTCGCCAAAAAAAAAAAAAAAAAAAAAATCCTTCAGGCAGAAGAAAACAATACCTGAAGGAAATACAGATTCACACACACAAAAAAAGAGCACCACAAATTATAACTCTGTGTGCAAATAGAGATGTTTTTGTTATTTAAAACTCTTTAAAAACGAATTGACTGTTTAAATAAAAATACAGTGTGCAATTAATAACATCTATAAATGTAAAATGTATGACAAACTGCGAAAACTGGGAAGGGAGTATAATATTATAATGTTCTTACACTATTCATAGAGTGACAAAATATCAATTAAAGGTAGACTGTGACAAATTAAAGATATATACTATAAACCATAAGTAACCACTAAAATACAAATAAAGTATTACAGCTTTAACCCGTAAGTAACCACTAAAATACAAATAAAGTATTACAGCTAATAAACCAATAAAAAGGAGGTAAGATGAAATAATAGAAAATACTCAACTAATCCAAAAGAAGGGGGAAATGGGACAATGACAAAGTAAATATATATATTATACAATATATATAATATATATTATATATAATATATATAACACATATATATTACTATATATATGTATATAAATATATATACACACACACACGAAGTGTTTTTCTTGTGTAGCTTATTTTTTGTAACCCATATGCTCTCATTCTCCCGTGTAAGGGTGGTGATGGTAGTGGTGACGGTGGTGGTGATGGTGGTGTGTGTGTGTGTATCTCCTTTTTATCCTGCTACTAGGTGGGATGAATATAAAACAAATAGGAAGAAGACAGACTTAAGCCTACTACATCAATAATCATATCAATGTAAATGAATTAAACAATACAATTTAAAAACAGGGATTATCAAATGGGATAAAAAAGCAAGACCCAACTGCCTATTGCTTAAAAGAAATGCACTTTAAATATAAAGATACAAACAGGTTAAAGATTATAGGATGCTAATAACAAAGGGCAGGGGAACTAGAGCGGTTATGTTCATCTTATACAAAGTACATGTCATAGCAAAGAATATTACCAGAGTTAAGGATGGTAATTTCATAATGATAAAGAGGTCAGTTCATCAAAAGAACAAAATCCTAAACATGTATGCACTTAATAACAGAGCTTCAAAATGCACAAAGAAAAGGTGACAAACAGCAAGGAGAAACAGAAATATCCACAATTACAATCAAACACTTTGCAATACCTTTCTCTCAGTAATTAATAGAAAAAAGAAACTGAAAAACGTAAGGAAATTAAAGATATAAGTAATACTAAATTGACACTTTTGAATGCTCTACCCAATAAGAGGAGAATGCACATTCTTTTCAAGTTCACATGAAACATTTACCAAAATAAAGTTTATTCTAAGCCATAAAACAAGTCTTAATAAACTTAAAAGTAATTAATCTCACAAAGTATATTCTCTGAAAATAATGGCATTAAATTAGAAATTAGTAACAGAAAAATATTCAGGAAATTTCTGACTATTTGGAAGCTGAAAAAATCTATTGTTCAAAGAAGTCATCAAAGGGGAAACTGAAAGAAAACATATCAATGCTGGGCGCGATGGCTCACGCCTGTAATCCCAGCACTTTGTGAGGCCGAGGTGGGTGGATCACTTGAGGTCAGGTGTTTGAGACCAGCCTGGGCAACATGGCGAAACCATATCTCTACTAAAAATAAAAAAAAATAGCCAGGAGTGGTGGTGCATGCCTGTAATCCTAGCTACTTGGGAAGCTGAGGCAGTAGAATTGCTTAAACCTGGGAGGCAGGTTGCAGTGAGCAGAGATAGGGCCATTGCACTCCAGCCTGGGCGACAGAATGAGAGTGAAGAGCAGAATGGTGAGAGGGGAGGGGAAAGAAGAAAGAGAAAAAGAGAAAGAGAGAAA